AAGTTAAAGTAACAAGTTAAACAGAATATTGTTGTAATTTTCAAGTAATCATAGAAATATGCTGCATTTATTTTTTTACTGTATTAGACTGTGAGATCATTTAACAATTTGAATATAGAAATAAACTGTATTTCTGGTTTACAGACTACTACTGTAAAGTAAATTTACAGTATGAATACCGTAAAATTACAGTATATTGCTGGCGTCCCTGCTGCCAGCTCTTAACCGTAATTTATAGAAATACAGAAATATACCGCATTTCTTATTTACAGTCTACTACTGTAAAATCATTTTACGGATTAATACCGTTAAAAAACGGTATATTGCTGGCGTCTCTGCTGCCAGCTCTTTACTGTTATTTTACAGGAAAATTAATTACAGTGCATTGAAAATTAATTACAGTGTAGCTACAAAGATTAGAAATAGAAATACTTTGGAAAACAAGTTGTTTGAGTGGTTAGGACTCTCTGAGAAATGCAGCTGAATCCAGAGGGTGAGAATTTACTGTAACTCCACCTCAGTGATTAGTGTCTGAAACAGCTCAAACTCCATAAAACCTTATAGTGACTTTACCGATACATGACTGAATAAGCACTCCTACGTTCAGCCCACTTTCAGCTGTTCTTTCTCCACAATCTGTTTCTAGGTAGTTTAGCCTTCTTGCACAAAAACTTCTGAAATCCTTCTTTGTCACTGGGTTCCACAAAGAGTTCGGCTCATCTGAAAGTCTTTGAAATGTCAGAATAAATTACAGATTTTCACTTTAAACTGGACAAAGTCAATTAGTTGTGTAATCAGCTGGAGAGCATAAGCTAAAGTGGAATAAACAGTTTTCCACTTTGAGGCTCCAGGCTGGGCAATGTTCAGTTATTTATTCTGTGTTTCTTTGATTATTTAATTGTATTTTACAAAGAGCTGTTCATATACATATATATATTTTACTCTCTGGCTGATGTTGCTAAATTGTTGCTCATGAATGCTTTTTGAACACTTTGAGTTCAAT